CTGTCCCAATATACATTCGCGCTGACCAGTATAGCCTTTACATGAGTCGCTGGTTCTCGCGTCGTCGAATAATTTGCTTCTGCACTCACTTTTCCAACAAAGGCGCGAACACTTCCTTTACTTCCTGGATAACCATTTAAGAAGAAACCAAGCTGCAGCGCGCGATTTGACGTCCTCCCTTGAAGATAACCTAATTTCTGTGTTTCAAAATTCACTACAGTCCGCGAGTCTAAGGTGGTGCGAGTTATAACCTTGATTAATACAATTGTTTTCGAACTGTTGACTTGATGTTTTGCGCCGCCTTGAAGTTGGGCTCCAACAAGAAAGCGGAATGTACTGTCCAAAGCAACATAAGTTTGAAGTTTAAAAACTCCTGTTGTGTTTTCAATTTGAAAGAACCGCGAGTCATTTCTCTCTATTATGAAGTAGGATAATGGAAGATAACCCGAGCATGGACTTCTGGCGTGAACTGTAAAGCAATTAATGCAAAAGCTTCGAGTAAGAATATTGGCTTTATGTAAGCCTAAATCTTATAATCTTCGTATTAAAAAAACTTGATGCACCTATCAAGATACGCGGTTAATAATTGTTCTCGTGCAACGTCAATGAAATGTACATTATTTAGGGGGGGAGGTGTTAAAAGTGACGTGAGGAATGAGATACGATGATGCCCAATAAAACTGAATGACTGGAAAGAATCACGTAAGAAATAGATATCTGACATAGAGAGAAGGAGAAGCCTGGAAGAGTTTGAAGCGATAGGAAGGAAGAACTTTAAGAATTTTTGGAACAATCTAAAAGGTAGGTTTCTCTTAAGAGGTACAGACTTCTTTTTACTTTCGTTACTTCTCCTCTATATTACTACGGTACGTTTTTTTTAAGGACAAAAGGGAGTTCAAACAATCCAGCTGCAGTCGGGTAAAGATTTATTTCTCAGTGATGTTTTTACAGTTGGTTAATCTCAACAGAGTACGATAGAATAAAACCTGACAGTGTTATATAGCAAAACTTTACCTTGCAGTATTGGTACCCCAAGTGGCGTTTGATCAAAGATACTCCTCATGTAGTAGTGGTTGTCAAATATCAGAGTTTCACTGCAGTTTGGCGGTCTGGTAATGGCGCCATCACAAACACAGGAACTTTTCACCGGCAAAGGACAAGAGCAATTTCTTCCAAAGACTTCAAGTTCAGAAACTGCAAAATAATCTGTTTTTTCTGCTGAATTTCCCAAAAATGACATCATTGTCAATCTAACATGAGTGGCAAATGAAAAAACCTGAAGAGTTAGATTTGTTTCAAAACTATTTGATGCTGGCCTTGAAGACTGAAGTAAATAAAACGTTACAATCTCGTCGGGGACTGGGTGTGAAAATCTTTCGACACAATTAGCACTGTCAGGAGAGTCCAGTCTCCCTCCAGCTTCCATATTAAAAGTTGATTGACAGTCTTGGGAAAAGTATTGCAGTGGTACCCATGTTTCCCCATAGTCGGCAGATTTAGAAAGAACCATATCCCTTGGTGGCCACCATTTGAATGATATTTTCACAACTAAGACTTGTTTCACACCACCAAGGCTGACTGTAAAATTAAGTGGAACTCTTGTTCTCTTGGACTGCCACCATGTACTAAGGTTTCCATCATTACCCATGCCTTCCAAGTGTGCCTGGTTACTTACACGCCTCACTGTAATGTTGCTTTTCGGATTGACACAATAAAGACCATCTGGGTCCAAAGACACCATTGGGTAGTCCACATTACATCTACAATGTCCTGCTAGGCGGGGCTTCTGTGGGGTTTGCTGTGAAGCATCTGTCTTGATTTCTAAAGGAAGGAGTGGTCCCATATGAAGACGAGAACCAAGCTCTCCTGAAGGACAAGTATATTATAAAAGAATCATGACTAAAGAACTGAAATACTGAATTAAGGGGAGGTGGAGGGGGATGGAAGGGAGAGGATGGGGGGGCGAAGCCTGTGAATGGGAATTAAGAACTCACAGATCTGTTTTACACCTACAGTAGGAACTCTGCATGGTGTGAGTTTATCACAATGTGAGCCAGATGTTTGTGTTTGTAAGTGGCAGGGGTGATCTAAAACCCAGTGTCCAAGTGAATCTCATTACAAGTTTGTAAATAATTACCAATTAAAACACAAAGGACTCATCTGTGACATAGAGGGGAAAACAGTAATGTACTGACAAAGTCTGTCCGATCTTCTTTACCAATTTTAAATTAAAGTTAGCATCCCCCATCAGATCTCCTTGACAAGCAGAGTCTTCAATACCATTCAAAATTTGTCTACAATCATCTACCAAAAAGGGCCAGAATTCTGTTAATTTGTGAACTTAAACATAATTACAAGCACTGACCTCCCCAGTTTGTCACAAACTACTCTGTCATGACACAATCAACTACCCTGAAGACACCTCTGCCACCAACCTCTCCACCCTTTCCTCTGATCAGCACATGGAAAGCATGATCCACTTTGAAAATTTAATCTGTAAATTTCTCTAATGGCAAAATTTTAGTAACTTATGTTGCATACCTTTAAAGTAATCATCTTGTGAAGCATTTGCTCTCCCCCCTAAGAGGATAATTCCACTTCTGTTCCAAATATTTTTATAAGTGATCTCTTCAGCAACAAGCCTTTTATCCATGTACAGTTGTATAACAGAACCAAAGAGTACCACTGCAATGTGATGACATTTTCCATCTGCTAGACTGTTGTTGAAGTGCAAACTGCTACTTAAACCACTTGCATTCATATATTCTAGAACTATCTCATGGTCAGTTTTGCTGTCTGCCGACACTGCAAATAGTATACTACTGTTGTCCTCTTTGCTTATGATTTTGCTAAAAAGGAATTAATTGGAATTGGATGTTAATAATTTGAGGTATTACAGTGCTAGCTATCAAGAAAGAGTGCCTGTTTTATTTACCAGTAAGCCCTGATCTGTTTTCACTAACTTCTGCTTTGTTATTCAGATTCCTTAATTTCACCAACTATTAGGCACAATCATTTCATGAACAAATTGTGACCTTTGTGTTATGATTTTTTCACAACCTCTGTATGGAGTTTCCTGTTACTCATAAATTTAGTATTTGGGGACTAAGAGAGTAAAATGACTTCACATCAGCCTCAATATGATCATTAACTTATTACATGATAGCTGAAATGGACAAATGCATTAATGTGGTCAACTACTTACCCTTGGTCCCCTGGGTATTGGCTCAGATGGATGGTTAGTGTCATTCCTTCAGATTCCCCAAATATCAGCAAAAACTCTGTTGACTTGGAAATAAAACCATTGGTGCCATTGAACTGAACAGTTGTCAATTCTTGTCCCTGGCAAGCTCCACTTGTATGATTTGTAAACATTACCTGTAATAGAAATGTTATGGAATAACATAGTTTATATTTCTGTTAAGGAAAGCTTTCAGTAAGTCAGGTTGGGGTCAGCAGGTGAGCCAAGTGGCTCATCTAGCTAAAGCTTACCCCACTTCCTATATCATGAAGTAACTGGAAGTATTACCTCACACCCTTCCCCCCCTCCCCCCACCCCATCCTTGATGGGATGCTGATGTGATGCATAGCAAATCCATAACAAGTCACCCCCTTGAACTGCATTAGGTTTCCTGAGAGTTAACCATTACCAGTTTTAATACATCATGTTGAGCCTGCAAGGAAAGCACAGCAAAACCACTTTGAACAATGTTAACAATTGTTGTTAATTGGTGTTAAGATTTTTTCTTCATCTTTCTTAAGGCCCTAGCAATGATCCTTATGTCTTGAAACCATTAATAGGGTATGGAGTTCTAAAGTGTTGTAATTCCAATGCAAAATTAGTAGTGGAGGGGTGAGGGAAGGAGCCCAGCACACAAGCTGTACATCCGGATTAAAAAAAATTATTTCCTTATTTTTCAATTACGTCGATTTAACGAAGTTACACAAAGTGAACAATTTCACTTTGAAGAGAATGAGTACTCAACTTTCCACTACAGTTGCGAGCAGATGAAGCTTGAATATAATCATGTTAACCAGCACACCGACGATTATCAGTGTAATTATTCCGACAAATCTTTCAGACTACCTAAAAACAGCTAATGTGTGCATAAACAAACAAAAAGTACATGGCTTATTTAAAACAATTTACGTATTACAATGAATCAATGCTAAAATATTGTTTTGATTGTGTCTCGCATACCTATCACAAAATCTACAAAATTTTACACTTTCGAATTTTTAAGTAGAGTATCTATCACTTACTTGGCCGTGAAACATTCCCGTAGCAACAATATCCAGGCTAACTGGTTCATTTCTCCCGAATGGACAATCGGCTTCACAATAATCAAACTTCTGACAACGATGGAAACGATCAACAGCTAAACAGAATTCATCATTTCCTTGCAAACCACAAGTATCGTTTGACGAAACAATCGCTTCTTGATAAAGTGCGAAATTTGTTTGTGCAAAAGCGAGCGAAGCACCTTGTTGAATTAAAACACCCGCAACGAGTAATACCTGCAACACACCACTGGAGAGCATCTTTAAAACCTATTCACCGTTATTGATGTCCGATCGAGTTCACATGCAGGTCAGTTTATGCAGCCGGGCTGTAGAAATCAAAGAAGGCAAAACCATCATTAACTGTCAGCAGTCATAAAGGCTTCACCTAGTCGCACCACACCAGCTAAGTTGACAGCAGACAGAGGAAAATCTGGCTCAGAAGCAGCATTCTGCAGACCACTTTCAGCTCAGCTGAGTTTAGCAGCGTTTACCTACGTACATAACAGATCCTTCACGTCCCTTAGTACTGCTTCTAGTTTGCAATCGCCCTGTTTTGGTTACAGTACGCTCAGTCGAAATGTAAAAACTTCACAAATATTCAATTGTCAATAATTGACTTCCTTATTTTCCTTGATGACAGCTATTGACCGAGCCGACTGGCTGTCAGCGGTAGTTACATAGAAACATTCTGCAAGCGCTTAGTTCGAATGCTCAAAATGGCGGACTACGGGGTAAAAACCATGCAAAGATTTGCTCCTTTAAAACCAAGTGCTACTCCCGTAATAATAATCTATACGGTTTCTAAACGTAGTGACATAGTTCTGCTGTCAAATTGCAGTCATTTCCTTTATATTGTAGTGGACGATAGCGTAGCAGTAAGTATATATTTTAAACAAATCTACATTTAGACAGTGGATTACTCGAAACGTCATTTCTCAGGCCTATGAATGAGACTTTCCATTAAATAGAACCTCGAGTCAAACGGGGAACATAACAATGTGAAATTTTTTCTTTCTTTTGTAGCACACTTTTCGTTTTCCCAGTCTGGTGACCACTGTTCGTATTCAGGAACGTAACGCTGCTGGAAAAACACAGATATTAGTTGGGACAGTGGATGGCCATATTTTTGCGGTCTTCTTACCAGAAGATCTGACCAAAAGCAGCAGGTGAGATATTAATCTGGTACTGTTTCAGCCAGTGACAGTCAAACTACATTTTGGGGTAATTGTGAGGAACAACTCCCTGAAAAACAGTCAGCAGGAACTGTCAGCCAACTGCTCTGCTTAAACTCGTGTACTGAGTCAGTATCTGTCTGTGATATTTATCATCTAAACTTCAGTGCACTTAGACACTACACTGAATTAGGTTAACGCCTTAGGAAAAGCTGTGGTCCCTTAGTGGAAGTTAGGAACCGTGCATGACTTAAGTGTTTAGGTTTTTTTGTGTGATACAACTGCCCGTCAACTCCTGTATTTTCAGCCTCTCCAACTTATATCTGGCTCACATCTGTAAAACTGACGAGAGAAGACAAATATTGATAAAGAAAGATGCAAGTGAATTTTCACAGAGGTGACTGTGATTAGGCCTGAAAACCAGAAAACTTGATCCAGAATCCTACACACTGACTGTATTGATACAATGTCTCCAAATTACTTGTATGTTGTGATTCAATTTTATGTGTGGTTCAAGTTTTATATTTAGAATTCATTTTCACACAGTAGCTTTTTCTGCAAAATTTAAATTTAAGGTTAAAGACATTTGCTGATCCTACTCCTACTACTACTAGTGAGATGGCAAAACAAAAGAAATGTGGTGATTGTGATATCTTTGGAGAACTACTTGCTGGTGCAAATATTGATGTTACAGAAACAGTGAATAAACAATCAGTCAGAGCTAATAAATGTATAACATTTGTTGATGTGGAAAGTGCAGTCCTATATGAACCAAAGTTAAGAACATTTATTACCATTGAAGAAAATATTGTGTGTTGCAGAGCACTGGAGCAAGGCTATTTGTTGTCTGTGTTTTGTCCTACTTCACAGCAAAATGATCTTGGTAAGATGGTGTGTGCACCACTTCCAGTATTCAAAGGGATAATAACAGTTGAATCAGAATCACAAAATACATGCAGTTGTTTGTGGAATTATGTTCCTCAGCTGTGTTGTGTTCAAGCCAATGGCAATGTTTCATGTCTGTCATCATGTCTTACCATAAAACGGTCTTTATTTAGCAAACTTTTTCACTGTGATGCATCTCTTTTGGATACCCCAGTCATTATCTTTGGTTGTGAAGATGGGCAAGTGTTATTTTGGCCTGTGAACAGTTTTGCTCTTACAAATGCAAACTCTGAGGCTAATGTCAGTGAACATCAATTTTCACCTCAGCTGATATACCATATGGAACAAAGAGTGGTAGCGATATATGCAGCAAGGCTTCATTATCCAGAGGATTCATCAATATGTCCATCAACTGCAAATGAAACAGAAGTGAGGAATTGCAAACACAAGCAAGAATCTGATGAATGCTGCAATGCCTTAGTTTTTGTTGGAGGTTGTGACAAGATTATAATTGTATCTGATGAAGAACATCTGTCAGAGAAGTCAGAAGAAGTAAAGAAAATTAATTTTACATGGCACACAATTGTTGGCCCTGTTCTATGTTCCTGCTTGAGCAGCAGCCATGACACACTGGTACATTCAACAGGTAACGAAATCTTTGTCACTAAGTTGAGCCTCAACTGTGAGATGAATGCAGCAAGGTCAGCAGCAATGTTATCCTCAAGCAAGCTGACTGTACAGGTACCAAATGTGTCTGTGCTTTGTTGTGTAAATAAGCAAAGGAAGGGAAATGGCACAAAGAGGCAGGTGTATGCTCTTACTGTCACAGGAAAACTTGTTTTGCTTCTGTTGCCAGAATTGCAAGATGGAGAACAACTTATTGGGTCTAATGTCTCACCACAAATGGCTGGTGAAAAAGTGAAGAGTTACTTAAAAGAGATTGAAACTCAGACTGCAGAGCTGGTAAGAATTAATGAAAGCAGAGAAAGTGCAAACAGTACTTTGAAAGAGCTTAATAAAATTATCCACATTGTTAGTCAGGTTACCAAGAAGGCAGGAGACACTATGTTCCCTTTATTGTGTTGTTTTACACCTGGTGTTGTGTGCCAGAGCTCTTGTGGGCATACTTCATTGTCACTGCACTGCAAAGTTATTAACCAGGGCAATCTAGTGTTGTCACCTTCCTGGTCACTAATGGTTCGCATACAAGGAAAGGAACCTTGGCAGAGTTGTACCTCTCCAGCAGCTTGTTTTATGGGCCAATCAATGCCACTGAGAACCACTCATCCAGGGGAAGTCGCAGAGATGAACATTCCTCTTAACAAGTCTTTCCCTTCATCAGGTCACATTATTGTAGAAGGGTACCTGTATTGTGATTTGAATTCCTTGCTTGCTGATCTCAGAAATGGAACAGATCCAACGCATTTCTTTCAGATACCAACTAAGAACATTGTGATACCAGTTGGAAAGAAAGTTTTTGACATCCTTCATTTGATGCAAATGACTCGATCAGGGCCACAAGCTCAAACAAACTGCACCATTTTAGATTCAAATGAAGAGGTTTTTCAAACTATAGAGAGACTTAATTCAACAATCAGCAATGTAGTAAGTAGAAGTATATTTGGCCAGGATACAGAAGAGATTGCAGAGGAACCCACAGAAATTAGAAACTACTCAGCAGCTTTCATTGTTTCTCAAGATGCCATAAATTTCATGACCACAACAATTAAAAATGACCTTGCTCTGAAGGAAACTCTTCAAACAGAATCTCTTTCGCCGCAAGCTACATTCTTTCACTTCATCTTCATGGACTCAAGCATTGCTCACCAACAAATTGATGTGGAATGTTCTCACATAAATCTGCTGAGTGTGAATGGTGGTCATGCATCCATACACATTAAACCTGTAAGTGGAATGGAAAAATCCACCAATGGTTCTCCTTTTGAAGTTGAATTACACTGTACACATGTGCGCTTGCTGTGTCATCTTCATGGAGCCATATTAACAAGATTGAAGGTAAACTAATACAGAGGGCAATGAACAAAGTTCAGCAAACTTTCCTTAATGAGTGTTCTAATTAGACATAAATTTGATGGGTTTCTTTAATAATAGTAATAGAATGATAGTTACAACTCCAATGATACAAAATATAATGACGATAATAATTATAACAGAAACAGCAACAACAAAAATAATGTTGTTGGTAATGAAAATAGTAATGTGATACATTTTTTTTATTAGCCTGTTATCACACATAGGACCAGTAGGAGTCAAATGCAAGAATATGATGTACAGAAACAGTTGAAAAAACTACAGGTAACATTTTGCCTTCTATTACTTTTGTAATTAACCAATATACTATTGACCGACTTAAAGAGTCTATGTTTTTAGGTGTTATTCTTGACAAAAATTTGTCATGGAAACTGCACATTGCTCATATTGCCAGGAAAGTTTCAAAATCCACTGGTATAATCTATAAAGCTATGGTCTCTGCCTACATACTTCAACTTTATGTACCCTGTACTATAGTCTTGTTTATCCTTACTTACTTTATTGCATTACGGTATGGAGCTCAACTTATCCATCCAGAAAGGGGTGGTACAAATTATATCAAGTAAGTACTTTTAACCCTCATACTGAACCTATATTTAAGCAGTTGAAAATTCTTAATCTATACAATACATATTGATTTCAAATAGGAAAGATCATGTTTTTGTTCAAGATAGGCCATCTTCCTGATTTTTTTCTTACTTTTCTCACGCTGCTTAAGTATATGTTTGTTTGAGAGCCTGCAATTGTTGTTGTTGTTTTATGTGTGTGTGTCCTTTCCTTTATAACCTTAAATATTTTGTACCTTAATCATGCCATAAAACTGATGCCACACTTCTGTAAAATATGAGGTGCCTGTAGCTCATATAAGCCCCTGGGTTTCCCTAAGGGTTTCCTCGCCTCTTGCTAAATCTTCTGCTATATCATATTAATGTATATATAATTCTTTTTTATTTCTACTAGTGTATCATAATTACAAAATGGCAAAATAAAATAAAAAATGAAAAATGAAAAAAACTTTAAAAAAATTGTAATAATGAAATTCTTCAGCCAGCTTGTAAATTGTCATTTGATTGGCCACCCTCTGTCATTGTTACATTTTGATATATTTATTCCAAAGGATTTCCACCAATGTGTCATTTTGTTGGAAGATGAGATGTCAATGGGGACAGATAAATGGGAAACAATCATCATCAAGCGGAAAGTATGGGCTCTGTATGAGAAAATGAGAGGAGTCGTGCTCATGATATGACATTTATTAGAGATAGAATTGAAAGAGAAAGCTTCAGGTGTATTTTCTAAAATTCAGTTCATGTGGAAACATTTTAGAATCGTTGTTGAAAAAATTCGTAAGATGATTTGCACAGTTACATCTCAACGACAAGCTGTAAACACCTGATGCGTACAGAAGGACTTAAACAAATCAAACTTGGGATCGTTTAATGCGGCCATTTTGTTACCTTGACTTTCCGTTTTTATATTGTAATAACATTACATGTTTAACGGTTTGGGTTTTTTTTCTCACCTCTAACATTGTTTGATTAGTTGAAGTACCGGTGTTATTACGAGTGCAGTACTGCACAAAGGTCCTAATTGAAAGAGGATAATTTGGTTTTATGAACTGTGTTGATAATGTGAGTTGGCCAAAGTGAAGAGATTCAAATGCTGACGTTTGAAGCGTTGGCCATTCGTCAGAAAAAATCCAAATTCTTCGCTCTGAAGAAGGGCTAACGTTCGAAACGTCAGCTTTAAAATCCCGTTACTGTTGCCAATTTACTTATCCAACATACATATATAAAGACCCAATCCAGCTCTGAATCCTTTAAGTAAAATTTGGAAATTAGACGTGTTTTTTACCACTTTCAGAACTTGTTTGGTTTTTATTCTTATAAATGCGTTCCTATTTGTGGTTTGTCATAATTACTCGTTCGGTAGGTTCAGACAAAGGAAAAGAAATCAAATCAGTGTGTGAGGTTTGTCTTTGCTGAACTCCTAGCCGTGCATTCAAGATGATACGTGGGTCTAATTATTCTTATAGCATTGACTTGCATAACTGAGAAATGAAGCTCTACTATTTGCCTTGAATTGTCGTGACTGAAATTAATAGAATGACCCCTTTTTGCAATGCAGCTTCCTGTACTGTAAATAAAGACATACGAAGAAGAACTACAGTGTCTCCTTAAACTTTAGAGAAACGGATTTAGAAATTTGCAGAGGTTTTAAATTCCCGTTGAGTCTAGGATGAGTAGAGATGACATCAAATTATAAATTTTAAAAAGTGTTTCAACATTAACATAAATGTTCTTTGCCATTTTCTTGAAATGTCACTTGCATTTCGCTTTGCGTGCGAAACACGCACGAACAGTAAAAAAGTGTTTTTTGTGTTCTTTACTTGGTTTGATGTGTGTTTGCGATTTTTTTCTCCTGTTCTTTCTTTGTCCTAACTCTGTGAGCTTTTAAATTTCAACTTTTTCTCATTCAAACGAGGTTATTAGAGTTACCTTACGAATACAAAGTATTCAAATTTACGCAAGAAGCAATCAGATTTATCAAGTGCACACTTTGCGAAGAAAGTTGATGCTAACATCATCAAATAAAGCTTTAATCAAAGGAATTTCGTAATACGCTAAAAAGGTCTTTTCTTTTAATATCCTATAACATGAACATTTCCCGAGAAACTCGTTAACACTAAATGATCTTTAAAAAGCTGCTGTGAAATGTGTAAATAGTGCCTTTTTCAGGCACTAGACAGGAGTGTCGAAACGTTGGGTCTATGAATTGTAACTTCTTCGGTTACATTTATTAAATCTGTAAACCAGAGAAGCATCAAACCATGTCTGATTGTCCACCTGGTTGCCGTGTGAACTTTAATATATTTTAGTTATTTATCGCTCACGGCTAATTTGGAAATTCTCCTCCACAGCTTAAAACAGTCAAGTAGTATTTACAGGGGTTCTTTATTCTTAGAGAAGATCGATTTTGTGAAAAGTTAATAAAATGTTCCAAACAGTTTACAGTGCGTGAGTGTCAATGCATAAGTGTTACTTCTTGATATAAGTCATTTATCGATTCATGATGCTTTCAGGCCATACAGCTTGTAATTATGACTGAATGGCGTTTCCCTGAAAAAGAAAAGATCATCACATTTAGCATTAATTGCCTTTAACCTCATACAACTTTCCGCACAGAAAAAATTAAAACAGAGAAGCAAACGGTAGAGTGCCTCTCTAAATTCTGAAAATTGTCGATTAATAGATGTTGGGAGATAAGGTTGCTGGATTCAGTTTCAATGAAATCAAACAGCTCATATCCATGGTACCTCTATTGTACTGTTTCTATTTTCCATTTTCATTTTGTGTTTACCTGCGAAACGTAACACCAAATATCGCATAAAAGCGCAACTTTCCTCATTGACCAGCCTTACACGAACGCTTAATTACAGCTTTCAGCGCGCATAGACTACCGACACCTCTACCTATCGGGACAAAAGGACATTAAAATATTAAATGTGATAATTTTTAAGTTGACGACTTTGATCACTTTCCACGTTCATTTTCGCAAATACAAAGAAACTGACTGCTTACCATTTACAGCAAGCCGCTGCAAGTTTCATTCAAATACAAATACAAAAAATTAATTCAATCAGCAAGTGTGATATTCAGAACTTCCCTTTTCACCTGTAGTCTCCTGACACACCGAGGACTATTTTATGAAATGAGAAAGATATCATGATTCATGAAGCAGCAATTTTTTTTATTCTACATGCGAGAGAAGCAAATATGCCATTCATCGCTAAAATAACCTATTGCAGATTTTATTTCACTTCAATGAAGTTTCATTCATCTTTATTCGCGTGCAAGGACGCAGAGTCACGGAAAGTCACCCTGAGTCAATGTTTCTTCATAATGATAAATTTTTCACTTTGACTTCCCACTGACTGAACAAAGTGATAAATATTAGCATATGAAATTGAAAGACAACGATTGAATCCATTTTAATTTCAAGGTTGATTAGCTGGAAGAGCTGTTTAAATAATCATCAGTCCAGCTGTTGGACTAAATGACCTATCAAAGTTACTCTGTCAAGGGAGTGCATTTGATTTGGATCTATCTGACCCCATCATTAACCCGTTTTCACTTTTCTGTATGAAAACTTTTTTAATAATCTTTTTTTTTTATTTTTCATTGGATAACATTAGGTCACACAGGCAGTGCGTCAATTTTTATTCACAAGTCATGACCTATGCAACCATTTTGTCATGTCAACGTTATTTTAAAGTCTTTTTCGTGAAGCTGATATGTGCTCGATATAAAAGTAGCTTATTTGCCAATGGACTCAATAGGCTATCTCGTTTTGCGAATAACGAAGCTAAGGAAATATCTTAGTCAAAAGCAATTATGTACAATAGGAAACGCAAACTTTGCAAAGAACAGCCACTTTTGAACTCGAAAACCCTCTAGATGTATTTTTCATTCAAGAGTGGTCTTTGTCCTAGGTATAAGTATGGTTGCCTTATGAAAACACGGTGTTCTTTTCCTGAAGCAAGTAGTTACGAGTTCCTACCGGACTATGTTTGATCACTAGATAAAAGGAGAGTGAATTAGACCAAAGTGATTGGAGCCCTTCTTTATTGACATCTTTGATTGTAAAGTACATACGGTATTTGGTCAACCGCAGATATATTTACCCAACGATAATATAACCAAGGAAGTATATGAATGATCAGACCGTTCAGACCCAATAATTCAGGTGAAGGCCAACAACTTGACAAAGAGCTGGATCTCAGTTCCGCTGTTCTGCAAGGGAAAGATATCATGATAATGAATGAGGTGAGGTTTGTCTTCGCCGAGTTCATAGCACTATAATCAAGCTATAAGGGTCGGCAGGGTTAAATTAGTGAAGATCTTAAGTCAGAAACATAGAAATGCAGGAAGGAAGCTGGTGTTTTTGTTCCTCTTCTTTTTAATTCGCCTAAACTTAACTT